ACTCTACCACTAAGCCACCTTCCCAGCCCCAACAAAACCTTATCTTTTAAAAGAAACTGAGAAAAAATAAACAGGTATATATTTTTAAGAAAAAGTGATTAAAATGTAATAGTTAGTTGAAACTACACATAAGCAAATTTACAGCATGCATGACAATGCTAGCACAAGATTAGGAGGAAAATAAAATATGCTCTTATAAGGAAGGCTCTTATATATTAGTACAGTATTGTAATGTTGGCTGTACCAATTTAAAGGTGTGTACTGCTGGGTGCCGGTTGCTCATGCCTGTAATCCTAGCTATTCAGGAGGCTATGATCTGAAGATCACAGTTCAAAGCCAGCCCAGGCAGGAAAGTCTGTGAGACACTTATCTCTAATTAGCCACCCGAAAACTGGAAGTGGCACTGTGCTGCAAGTGGTAAAGTGCTAGCCTTTAGCTGAAGACCTCAAAGCCCTGACTTCAAGCCCCATGACTGACAAATAAATAAATAAATAAACAAAATTAAAGATATGTACTGTGAAGACTAAAAAACAAACAATAAACCAAACACTCAGTAAAACAAGCCATCAAAGCACAGACAATGGTATCTTAAAACAATTAATTCAGAAAAAAGTAGTCAAAATAAACAAGAGACAGAAAGGAAAAAAATCTAAGATGATAGATTTAAATCTAAGCATGCTATGAACCACATTAAATACAAATGATGCTCTTATCTCAATTAAGTTAGAGATTGTTATGACTGAGAAAAGTAAGAAAGATAATACAGGGCTGGGAAGGTGGCTTAGTGGTAGAGCGCTTGCCTTGCATGCATGAGGCCTTGGGTTTGATTCCTTAACACCACATAAGCAAAAAGAAAAAAGCCGGAAGTGATGCTGTGGCTCAAGTGGTAGAGCGCTTGCCTTGAGTTGAATAGCTGAGGGACAGCGCCCAGGTCCAGAGTTCAGGCCCCATGAACGGACCCCCCCCCCCCAAATTTTTTTTTAAAAGAAAGATAATACATGTTGTCTATAAGTAATAAACTTCAAATATAATGATCCTGATTTGTGAAAAGTAAAATAAACTTAACACCAAGTAAGCAAAATCTAGAATTAGTAAATTTAAATAAGTAAATAATTAGAAAATATTTTTCTGGGTATTGTAAATGAATCTTTTATGATAATTATATTACAGGTATTTACTTATGTCAGAATTTTCAAAATTGCTTATGCCAGTTATATTTCAATAAGCTTTGAAGCATCTAAGTAACAGAAAGTATTCAGTAGTTACTGTGTTGACCTGGGGAGTAGCAACCTGTAAGTTCCTTGGAATCAGAAGTGTGTATAAATATCCTCTGTATCTAGCAGATGACAGAGGAACAACTTTTTCAATATTTATTTAATGAAGGATTGCAAGAAACAGCCCAATAAGCATGCAGCTTACTCTGGGTGACATCTCTTCATATGAAGAAAAAAAAGCATAATGGTTTATTCTGAGGTTCATTTGAACTTTATAATTTGTAAACTAGAGACTATTCTTGACCATTTAAAGATTTACATTTATTTGGGGAAGTATTCTTTGAACTCAGAATTACTAATAAACTAGCATAGTGACTTAAAAAATGCTGAAAAAATGCTTCTTAGTGTTGTAGTTTGAATCTTGGCTGTTCTACAAAGTCCCAAGCGTTAAAAACTTGTTCAACAATTTTATGTCATTATTATGAGGTACTGGAACCATTTAAGGTGAGGCCTGTTGGGAGGCAGCTGGGTAACTGGCTGTGTCTTACAGGCCATAGTGGGACACCATCCTTTTCCTGTTTCTCTACTTCCTGGATCCCCAAATCCCTCTGCCACATGCTCTCACCATGGTATACTGAGCCCAAAGCAATAGGGACATGTGACCATGCCCTGAAACTCCTGAAGCTGTGAGCCCAAATTCCTCCTTATGAGTTGATTATTTCAGGTATTTGTCACTATAATAGAAAGTTAACATACTAGCGCAAAATGAAAATTTTTTTTTAGTAGTTTTAGTTGACATATTATTGAATGGATTGTACACTCAGTTCCCATCTTCCTTTTTTCTCTTATTGCACAATTGGGTTTCATTGTGATTATTTCCATAAGTTCTATGGTAAAGTCCATAATCCTTCCAGTTCTCTATTGATTTGTTTCCTTGGCTCATTTGTGTCCATAGTCCCTGTGAACAGTCTTCCTCCCTTGCTACTTGGTATAAGAAAACAGTTTCCTGTCTCTCCTACATTTCTGTTTCCTTATTTTACTTCATTTTCCTCTAAAACTTTTACCGTGGTCTGACATGTTATTTTTCCCCAATACCCTCTCTTTTATGACTAGTAGATATGTTTCAAGAGGACAGGCTTTTTTTTCATATTGTTTGCTATTGTAAGTGCTACATAAGTATTTGGCACAAAGTAGTTTGTGGAATGAATTTATTAGTTGTATTTTAATATCCTTCAGGTTTATTCTCCTCTTTTTACTATTTTCATGTCTTGATTCTTTGCTGTATAAAAGATGAGCCAAAGTATTTGAGATTTGAATCACTTAAGAGTGCACTTAAAAAAAAATTCCTATCTAGATTTAGGTCTCTGCACTAGTTTTTTTTTTTGGCTTTTTTTCTTTTTTTTTTTGTCTCAGTCACTTCTATGAGAAGCAAAAGAAAAAACATTTGTCAAGTACCTCACACTTTTGTAAGCACTATCTCATTATCTGAATTTATAGGTAAGGCTTTGGCAAATCACAGAAAAAAATCCAATCACACATAACAAGAATTATTTGAAGGTGCTGGGATTTGAGCTCAGGCCTCAGACTTATACCACTTGACTTACAACTCTTACCCTTTTCCCCAGTTTCAAATGTATTCAAATCATAAAGATAGTTATCTAATAACTGTCATAGACATGTTTAAGGTATTAGGATAAATCATGGTGAAAATTTGATTCTCTCAAGACTAGATGAATTTTCTTGAGAAGGTAGAGACTATGAGAAAGTACTTTTTTTTTTAAGCTTTCAGCACTGAACACTTGGGAAACTAGTACTGCTCAATAGGGAGGGATAGATATGGAGATCAAAAACTTAGTTTTATGATCTGGAATTGATGAAGAAATTAATAGATAATTAATAGATAATAGGTAAGCGTACTCACTAGGGCTTTAATTTATAAGTTATAATTGCTCAATAACTAAAAGTTATCCTGTATGCTTTATGTTTCTAAAAGCTGTGCAGTAGTAAGCCTTAGGTATTATGTACAGGATACTTTTTAAGGCAATGAGAGGAAGGGGTAGAGAAGGGGAAAAGGAAGACAGGGAGAACAGTGTGTATGCATATAGTATATTAAACAAACAAATTACACATTTTATATATAGTTCATATATATAATATACACACATTGTACATTCATTTAATCATAATTGGTATCTTTGTTTTCTGTTCCTAATGCTTATGTTTAATTAAGATGGCAAGCTTGTCACACTTTATTTGTAATAGCTAAACTGTTACTCTTTTCCTCTGGTTGACTAGAGATTATTTGTGTTGGAAATAGCAGAACTCTGTTTCACACTGTTTTCATTTTTGTTATTCTTGTAGTCAATTTCTCACAATGTTTGTGCTTAATTCTCACTGCTACTAACATAGTGCATTTCACAACTTCCTTGTTAGATCTACCATGTTGTTGTAGCTAAGCCTTTTGTCATGACTGGATTGCTTCCATATGGATTGTGGATTGCTTCAGTATGATACTTTTGATGGAAACATCTTAAATCCATACTTATTGGATATAATACTTAACTTTAGGAGAACTATTTTAAAATAAATAGTCTGTATTTCACAAAAGATGAAGTATTTATTTGAGGTTTTTTTTTTAACAGATTAGAATTGGGTGCTAGTTAGAATGTATTTTACATCATAAGAAATCTAGTCACCTTGATACAGTAATTCACCGGCTATCGTTTTATCACTTGAATATAGAAAAGCTGTTATCCTTGTAGAGTTACTTGCTGCTTCAGTTATTCTGATAGAATAGTTTAAAAAATCATCTTGTTTTTGAGCTCTGTTCTACATAAATTTACTTAACTTGTATGTGTATTTATATTTGTACTTATTGCGTGTATATGTTACTGTTTGTATATATGTATATATGTATTATATGTAAAGTATCCATCTTAATACATAAACTATATACCCAACTTTTTATATCATTGGATTCCATATCCATGGATTCAACCAACTTTTGATTAAAAATATTCAGAAAGAATTACTCACTTGACAGATATTTTTGATATTAATCCCCTAAATAATACAACATAGCAACTATTTACAAAGCATTTACGTTGTATCAGCTATTATAAATAATCTAGAGTTGACTCAGATATGCAGGAGAACACGTATAAGATACATGCCAATACTGAGTCATATTATATAAGAGACTTGAGTATCTGGGTATTTGGGTATCTGTTGGTGTGGGGCAGTTGATGAGTTGTTTTTGAAATCATATTTTATATGTATATATTGTAACTATCTGATTATTATTTAGTTATTTATTTTTGTTGGTCGTGGGGCTTGAACTCTGGTCCTGGGCACTGTCCCTGAGCTCTTCAGCTCAAGGCGAGAGCTGTGCCACTTCTGTTTTTCTGGTGGTTAATTAGAGATAAGAGTCTCACAAGACTTTCCTGCCTGGGTTGGCTTTGAAGCATGATTCTTAGATCTCAGCCACGATTCTCAGATCTTAGCCTCCTGAATAGCTATGATTACAGGCATGAGCCACATTCGCCTGGCTGATTATTTTTATTATTAGCTTAACATGTTTTATTTAGAAGGTAGCAAGTCTGATATATTTTATTTGGAAGGTAGCAAATATAAATTAATAAACAAATAAATAAAACTACTTTGTACATCCTCTATTTCAGGTACAAGATTTAATAATAGTGGATATTATCTATTATAAGTCATACAAGTGATCTCAGTGTTTATTTGTAAGTGATGTACTTCAAGAAATGTGTTTTGTCCTTGTAGGTGCTGTTGTTCTGCATTACTGCAGCCATGTACATGTTCTTCTTCAGGTATGCTTTATTGTTCTTTAAATATGGTACAGTATTTACTTTAATACTCTGAATAGTATCCCTTAGAAGTTTGTGTTCAACCATGAAACTAAGGTATTTCCCTAATGTCCTTGAAGAGTGGTACCCCTCACCCCCTTATGGTTAGAGATAAATCCCTAGTTCATGGCTTTGTGAGAAGAGAAAAGAAGTCAATTGAGTTTTCCCCTCCTACTCTCTTGAGTAGCTTATCTTGGAAAGTTCATTATGCCAGTTGTCAAATTCTGATGTTCATCTTCTATAGACCTGATTTTTTATATTCTTCACTCTTGATTTTCAATTTACATAGAAAATTAATAGTGGACTTTTGTGTAAACCTTCTAGGAAGGTGACCTGCACACTATACATACTTTGCAAATATTAATATTGTAGGTGTTGGAATTGTACTTGGCATCCACACTGAGGCTCTGAGAAGAATGGGTTAGGATGGCTGAGCATACAAATGCTAATAAGAATGTCTGTGGGAATTTGTGGGCTTTTTTTTTTTTTTTTTTGTCCACTCCTTTTTTTTTTTTTTTTGGTTGGTCATGGAGCTTGAACTCTGGGTTTGGGCTCTGTCCCTCAGCTCTTCACTCAGCATGCTACCGCTTGAGCCACAGCACCACTTCTGGTTTTCTAGTGGTTTATTACAGATAAGAGTCTCATGGACTTTCCTTCCCTGGGCTGGTTTTGAACCGTGATCCTCAGATCTCAGCCTCCTGGGTAGGTAGGATGACAGGCGTGAGCCACTAGGGTCTGGCTTCCCTCCTTATAATCTCCATGTTTTAATGATGCCATTTAATTCCCATTTAGAACACTCAATATATTCATTAAATCATTTTTTTTCTTTTGATGCTAGTCCTGAGTATGAATTCTGGCCATGGGCACTGTCTCTTAGTACTCCATCACTTGACTTTTAGGGATCTAGGCAGAATTCAGTCACAGCAAGAATGACGAGGCTTTTATATGTCTAGGATATTCTTAGCAGAGGATCACAGTGGCTCAAAAGCGACGTGGATATGAACATGTAAAATGATGCTTATTTCCAAGAAATGGAAGCAAGGGATTTTTTTTTTTTTTTAATTTGCAGTTACTTCTCCCCCCCTTTGGTTTATTCCCTTTTGTCACTGTTGTTGATTCATGTACCCTTTATCTTGTATGTAAGTTTATTTGATTTGGGGAAAGGAAGAGGAATCACAGAAAAGTTGGGACAAAGGGTGAACCAATACAACAGTGATACTCACTAGACATTATGTTGGAAATCAACTTTATAACTTGTAGGAAAGGAGGGGGTTGGAGAAAATAAGAGAGGGAATAATGTAGTCACTACCTGATATATGTAACTGTAACCCCTATGTACATCACCTTTACAATGAAATTTAAATAAAAAATTCATAGCATAAATTAAAGGAAACAACCTAATAATATACATGTTTAAGGTTTAGCATTTTCTAGTCACAAGAAGTTTTTGAAGTTTAAAAACAAATTATATGTTCAATAGTCTGATAATTATCCAACTTGTAACATAGTTCTAGGAAATTATATTCAGAAAATTGTTGCCACCAACCTAGTATTTTTGGTGTACAAAGAAAATCTGCCCTATAAATATGTGTTTTGGTGCAAAACTATGGAGCCTTTTCCTGTTTCAGTCCCAAAGTCTGGGTTAAAAACAACAGTTTAAAATACTTTCCAGAAGTCTCAATACAAGGTTTAAGTGCCAAGATAAACACTTTCAGTTTTCTGAGGAAAAGGGGTTGTTTTTCTCCCCAAAGAAGTACTATCACCAAATTCTTGTTCTTGGCAGATGTTAGCTTGAATAACTCAACAAAAGAGAATTGGTGAATGGTCAAATGAAACCATTTACAAAAAATAACTACAACCAAACAAAACAAAGTTACATGTTTTTCAGAACTCTGGCTTGTGTCTGTAATGAGTAACTGTATTATGCAGAGCCTGGGCCATTGCAGTTGCAGTGTTCTATTCCTGGAAGTAAATTTTCCTATCCATACAGATAGTTGTAGACATGTTTATTTAACTTATTAATAATCATATTAAATCTCACTGCAGAAAGTTAGATAATTAATGAAATGGTATTGCCAAATTTGATGTTTAAACAAGTCAACTTGTGTTTTTATTCTAATCTGGAAAAAAAGGAAATGAGGCTTCTTTCAATAGAAAGTATATCAGTCTTTTTTGTTTTTCAAAGATAGAACTTGAAAAATTTGGTTTTATAAGTATTTTCTAAAGGCTGTGACGATTAAAGTCTGAATTGACTTAAAAATCAAAATAACTGGAAGTGGCGCTGTAGCTCAAGTGGTAGAGCACTCGCCTTGAGCTGAAGAGCTGAGGGACAGCGCCCAGGCCCAGAGTTCAAGTCCCACGACCGACAAAAAAAAAAAAAAATCAAAATAACATTTTTGGCATTATAAACTCAGGTTAACAAAATGTATAATGAAACTATAGTACTTTCACACAGCTTTTTTTTTTTTTTTTGGTGGGTTGTGAGGCCTGAATGCTGTCCCTCAGCTCTTCAGCTCAAGGCTAGTAGGCTCTACCACTTGAGCCACAGTGCCACTTCAGGCTTTTTCTATGCTTACGTGGTGCTGAGGAATTGAACCCAGGACCTCATGCATGCAAGGCAAGCACTCTACCACTGAGCCACCTTCCCAGCCCTCATGTAGCTCTTAACAGGTTATTTTGTATTCTTTCACATATGTTATCTCATGCAAAGTGATGGAAAGTTTTCATCCAAACCCCAGGATGGAATCCTAAGAATACTGCAAGGCATGGGATAGGAGAGGGACTGTGTGAAGAGAGAACTCTGGTTCTGTTTTGGTTTGTAGCCAGCTGGCCTGCCAGCCATGCAGGCATGGAGGTATTTAACAATGCTATGGATTCTGAGAGGAATTTTAGTAAGAGGATGTTTTGAAAGAAGGTTCTTTGTGTACAGTCTAGAGGGCATCCTTCTCTTCTTTCCCTCCCCCCTCCTCTTCTTTCTCTTTCTTCTCCTCCTCCTCTCTCCTTTCTTCCTCCTCCTTCTCCCTCTTCCCTCCTGCCCTCTCCCCCCCACTTCCTCCTTCTTTCTCTCCCCTCTTCCTCTTCTTCTTCCTCTTCCTCCTCCCTCCTTCCTTCTCTTCTGGTTTGAATTCAGTACATAGGTGCTGTCCCTAAGTGTTTTTGCTCAAGGCTAGCATTCTACCACTTGAGCCACAGCTCTACTTCTGGCTTTTTTTTTAAATTCAAGAGTTAATTGAAGATAAGAAACTCAGGGATATTTTCTTCCTAGGCTGGTTTCAAACCTGGATCCTTAGATATCAGCCTTCTGAGTAGCTAGAATTAGAGGCATGAACCACTGTATTGTTTTTCTAGGTAAATGATTCTGCCTCCTTTAGTTACTTTATCAGTATATGTGCTTTTGTAATAGCTTTAATTTATAGCTGTAGTGAAGACAGATCATGCAGAAAGCATAGTTAAGAATTTACTAGGAAATTTTGTTTCAGGTACTCTTTAAAGCATTTGTTTGCTTTTAATTTTAGGATTCATCATACATCTTGATTTAGGATCTTCTTTATAATCGTGGAAAAAAGAAATGTTCTAAAGTCTCATAGACAAAGGGATTATTTTATGGATGGCATTTTTAACATGATATAAGTGAAAATTATAAACAAAATAATTTCAAGCCACCTAGAATGCCATTTTATTGTCATGAAAATAATGTAGCAAGTTTTTTTTGTTTGTTTGTTTGTTTTTGGTCTGGTCATGGGTCCTGAACTCTGGGCCTGGGCGCTGTCCCTCAGCTCTTCAGCTCAAGGCTAGCACTCTACCACTTGAGCCACAGTGCCACTTCTGGCTTTTTTCTTTTTGCTTATATGGTGCTGAGGAATCGAACCCAGGGCCTCATGCATGCAAGGCAAGCGCTCTACCACTGAGCCACCTTTCCAGCCCTGTAGCAAGGTTTTTAAAGATAAATTTTGATGTCACTTTAGGTAGTCAGTTTTGTGTTTATAGTATTTCTACCTACATAGTATTTCTCTTTGTCTCCTATCAAAAACAGTGAACAAGGGGGCTGGGAAGGTGGCTCAGTGGTAGAGCGCTTGCCTTGCAATGCATGAGGCCCTGGGTTCGATTCCCCAGCACCACATAAGCAAAAAGAAAAAAGCCGGAAGTGGCGCTGTGGCTCAAGTGGTAGAGCGCTAGCCTTGAGCTGAAGAGCTGAGGGACAGCACTCAGGCCCAGAGTTCAGGCCCCACAACCGGACCCAAAAAAAAAAAAAACCAGTGAACAAATTATTTCTTATAATTAAAATTGTTAGTTCTTTTTTTGCTGGTTTTGGGGCTTGAACTCAGGGCCTCAGCACTGTCCCTATGCCTCTTTGTGCTTAAGGCTAGTGCTCTACCAGTTGAGCCACAGCTCAACTTCTGGCTTTTTCTAAGAAGTTTATTGGAGATAAGAGTCTCAAGGACTTTCATACCAGGCTGCCTTTGAACTGTGATCCCCAGATCTCAGCCTCCTGAATTTCTAGGATTATAGGCCACTGGTGCTGGGCAAAATTTTTTTTTTTAATTTATTTTATTTTATTAAAATTGTTATTTCTTAAAATTTTCAAGTAATGTATTTGGGCACAATTATCTGAAAACCTGAGAAGCCAAAATAAAAATAGATTTGCCACAAGTAATGCGTGGTTAATCTCCTTATGTGTTGACATTTTGGATCACATTTTAGATATCTCTCCTTCTTACTTCTCCAAATTGTCTATATCTCCTGCCAGAGTAAACTTCCTTTACCACAGAAACTTCTCTAGCAGGTTCCCATCCACTATTAGGTAGCTCCTGCTGGAGAACACTTTTCTTCTTTATTTTACTTCATTAACATCAGAGGTAGTTCTCACATTCCTAAAATTCTTTATTCTAAAGAACTTTTTCTGTAGTTTAAGAACTACAGCCACTGTTCTTTCATTCTGCTTTTGCTGAGATACCAATCAATGA